CCAGGCCGTCCCCTTAAGGCTCCAAAAGAGCCCAAAGTAGGGTTTAGGGTTTAGGGTTCAGGGTTCAGGGTTTAGCGTTCAGGGTTTAGGGTTTAGGGTTGAGGGTTGAGGGTTGAGGGTACCACTTGCAGACTTTAGACTCCGATGTAATTAGATAGTACTTGTATTCTTGGAGCCCTATACGCTGAAGCCCGAAGCCCGAAACTCTACGCGCGCAGGCGACGACGAGATCACCCTCCGCGACAACCACCTAGCCTTCCAGCGCATCACCATGCGCCCCCGCATCCTGGTGACTCGGCTAAACCCTAAACCCCAAACCCTAAACCGTAAACCCTAAGCCCTAAACCCCAAACCCAAAATCCGAAACTGCCCTAGGCCCTGAACCCTAAGCCTCTCTCTGGGAACCTTGTTGCTAGAGGAACTCGGAGACAGGGAGCGCAGCTTTGAGATACAACAGCATTTTTGTCGAGACAGGCCCCCGGAAGTCAGAGGTCAGAACTCAAAGGCTCAAAATGCCTCTACACCTTTTAGGGTTTAGGGTTTAGGGTTTAGGGTTTAGGGTTTAGGGTTTAGGGTTTAGCCCCTAAGTACCCAAGTTGAGGTGAACGTGCGTGAGATCGACATGACCACGCGCCCCGGCTGGAGTTTCTGGTCAGGTTCACCATGGCTTGGTCATGTCAACTTGGGTCTTTCGGTTTAGGGTTTGGGGTTTGGGGTTTATAAGGTTTAGGATTTATTCTTCCTTTTTTGGCCCTATAGAAATTACTTTAATTTTTGGGTGTTCTTAAGCGAAAGGTTAAGCGACTAGTAGTTTGGGCTTTCGGTTCTGCTTGGGGTTTGCTAACCCCTGCAACTTCGGTCTGGCTTGAGATTGCAGCCTTTTCTGTGGAAAAATTGAGAAGGCCTTGCAGCAGTCTCAGGCCAGCAGGAAAGGCTCTGAACCTTCAGGGTTTAGGGTTTAGGGTTTAGGGCTTGGGGAACCCCACCTAGAGCAATGGATCTTGTACCTCGGAAGCAAGGACCACATGGTTTTGTTTTAGGGTCGCTTCTGAGGGTCCTGCCATGGCATAGAGAACGAAGTGGGGAATTCATATAGGATGGGTTCTTTCCCTTTGGTTGCCCCATCCCCCCGTAACCCATGACGATCATATTATGGCTTTTGCGGAGCCCCTTAGTAACCTAAGATTCCTCGTCCTGGCTGTTCGTTTTCATCTCTATACCGTCATGATTAGCAACGAAGATTACAATCTTGCTGTGATTGCTCATTATTTCCTGTTCTTGCTGCCATGTTCCACATAGTGTGTTGGTGTTTTCTAAAGTCAATCCCCAGCCCCCCAAAACGGCCCCTCAAAGGAAGATCCTGATCGTTCCCGCTAAACCCTAAACCCTAAAGCCTAAACCCTAAACCCCAAGGAAGATCCTGGGCGTTCCCGCCTCTCTCCCTCTCTACTTCACCGCCACGGCTTTGGCCAAGCTCGCCCACCAGGCGCCTTGGCAAAGCGGCACAGTTTAGGGTTTAGGGTTTAGGGTTTAGGGTTTAGGGTTTAGGGTTTAGCGTTTAGGGTCTAGGGTCTAGGGTTTAGGGTTTAGGTTTTAGGGTTTAGGGTTTAGGGTTTGGGGTTTGGTGGAATCGAGGTGTTTATACTTCCGGGCTCTTCGTCGGGAATTCGGTACCTAAATTAGATACCTTTTCTGAAGAAATATCTAGGTGGCCTACTTCCTACAACTTCTTGATGGAGTGATAGAGGCTACCTTAAACCCTAAAGCCTAAACCCTAAACCCTAAACCCTAAAGAGCAGCCGAGTGGCCTGCGCATGCCTGAGCCTGCAAGGAAGGGGAGCTCGCCATCGTGAAGGCTCGGCTTTGGACTTCGGGGACTCCATGGTCTGGTTGAGGGTTGGTTTCGTTGAGGTTTGAGGGGTTTAGGGTTTAGGGTTTAGGGTTCAGGGTTCAGGGTTTAGGGTTTAGGGTTTAGGGTTTAGGGTTTAGGGTTGCCTAAGGGTCCATGTACCTAAATAGGGAATACTTGGGCCTTAAAGTGCTTCCTATACAGGGTCTTTGGGGCCCCAGTATATAATCATAAGGTACATGGACCCATAGGGTTAGCTGAGGGTTGGGGGTTGGGGGTTGGGGGTTGAAGGGTGTAGGGTATAGGGTTTAGGCAGCGTTAGGGTTTCGGGTTCAGGGAGCGTTTACGGTTTAGGGTTTAGCGTTAGGGCCGGCCCTGGTCCGACGAAATGTTGAAAGACCCCAGTTGTAGATCCTCTTGGGGGGGGGGGGGGGGGCAATGATATACCTTATCTGTCATTGGGTATGGGGCTAAAGGGCATTCCGATTAAAACATGCTAACCATGAAACAGTTCCCCGAAAAGAAAAAGTGGAATGGGGGAGTAGGGAGGGGTCCAGGTCTCGGCCAATGCATTACATTCCGACGACGTAAAACCTTCGGTTGCGCGTGGTGGCCCCACGCGTGTCAACTACGACTAGAAACGCTGCGGACCCTTATAGTTAGCCTGAGTAACATCAAAAATGCAGACTTTTGATGCTGAAACACTGCTATATCGGTGATGCTTGCATTCGCACGCCATCTGCCAGGCCGCCAAGAAGGCGGGCGTGCCGTACATGCTGCCCACGCTGAGCTCCTACACCCTGGACGAGATGCTGGCGGCGCGCACCCCGGACCAGGTGGTCTTCAGCCAGCTCTACGTGAACCCGGAGCGGTCCCGCAGCGAGGAGTACGTGGCCAAGCTGGAGCAGGCGGGTGTGCAGGCCCTCTTCGTGACCGTGGATGCGCCGCAGCTCGGCCGCCGCGAGAAGGACATGCGCAACAAGTTCACCCAGCAGGGCTCCGACGTGCAGGGCGACGACGAGGATGAAGGTGCTGTGGACCGCTCCCAGGGTGCCACCCGCGCCATCAGCAGCTACATCGACCCTGGCCTCAACTGGGAGGATGTGCCTTGGCTCAAGAGCATCACCAAGATGAAGGTGCTGTTGAAGGGCGTCCAGTGCGCGGAGGATGCGGTGATGGCCTACAAGTCCGGTCTTGCTGGCTGCGTGTTGTCCAACCACGGTGGACGCCAGCTGGACACCTGTCGCCCGGGCATCGAGGTCCTCCCTGAGGTCATGGAGGCCGTCAGGGCAGAGGGTGCCACCAAGGAGAACTTCGCCGTCTTCATCGATGGCGGCGTGCGCCGCGGCGGCGACGTCTTCAAGGCGGTGGCCCTCGGCGCCCAGGCCGTGGGCGTGGGCCGACCGGTGCTGTACTCCCTGGCCTCCTACGGCCAGAACGGCATCGTCCGCATGGTCCACATGCTCCAGGACGAGCTGCAGATGGTCATGCGCTTGGCCGGCACCCCGAACATCCCCAGCATCACGGAGAAGCACGTGATCACCACCAACCTCGCCGACCACATCGTGCCCCTGCCCATCGACAACCTCACGCACAAGACCTACCAGGGCCTGGAGCCCGCCGCCAGGCTCTAAACGGGGAGGCCAGGCGATAGGGACCACCGGTCTGTACCTGAAATGTTCGAACCCTAAACCCGAAACTCTAAACCCCAAACCCTAAACCCTACGCCCGAAACAACCCTGTGTCCCCATCCCTGCACCATGACAGGACAGCGAGGTGTTACACCGGCCCGGCCAGCATCTGAATGCAGATGCTCAAGGCCTAGCTGGCGTTTAGGGTTTAGGGACCCTAAGCCCGAAACCCTAAACTTACACCCTAAACCCTAAACTCTAAAACCTAAACCCTAAACCCTAAACCCTAAACCCTAAACCGTTTACGTGGGCTGAGGAGAATTGAGGATGGTTTGGGGGGTGTACGGCTTGCTCCAAAGCTGTGTTATCCCTGAAAGCTTTCGACGACGACCCGGTTTCACGTTTAGGTAACCCTAAACCCTAAACCCTAAACCCTAAACCCTAAACCCTAAACCCTAAACCCTAAACCCTAAACCCTAAACCCTAAACCCTAAACCCTAAACCCTAAACCCTAAACCCTAAACCCTAAACCCTAAACCCATCCAGAAGATTCCGGAAGCCCGTGCCAGGCTATCGATGCGGTGAGTACAAATGCGTTCCCCGCACTTTGTCCATAGCAGCTCAGTGGCGAGGCGGACGGGAAAGCTTTGCAACAGGTCCTCGCGACACACCCTAAACCCTAAACCCTAAACCCTAAACCCTAAACCCTAAACCCTAAACCCTAAACCCTAAACCCTAAACCCCTTCAGCGCGCCCTAATTCACCTCACTTGTCCGACGGGTGATTCTACAGGCTTACGGAGCAAGATGGGCCATTCTATACCCTCTCTAGTCCCGAACGCAGACCCGTTAGAGGGACTCTTTTTTTTTTAAATTTCGTTGAGGGTTTAGGGTTTAGGGTTTATAGGGTTTATAGGGTTTAGGGTTTAGGGTTTAGGGTAGTTAGAAGCCTAGTAGCCCATCCTGAGAGAGGACAGGTTCTTTTTGGTCCGCAGTTTCGCTCTGGACAGTTTCCGAAAATTCGAAGGCAGTTGCCGCAGTTGGCAAGTCCTTCAGTTCTTCATGCCACTTGCTTGGCTCACAAGGTGTCTGCGCAAAGTGCTCAGCCTTGTCTAATTACCGCATCTGCCCCAGATGCAGAGTTTTCGAGAGGGTCTTTTGACGCAAACCACGCCGCGGAAGAAGAAACCTCCCACCTCACCCTAAGGATCCATGCACCTATATACCCAGACCCCTGGGAGCATCCAAAAAATAGATCCCCTTAAAGGTTCCTAAGAATGACCCAATAGTAGTAAAGGGTACTATTTGGGGGCTCTATTTTTTGGATCCTCCCAGGGGTCTGGGTAGCATAAACCTGTAGGTTTTGGGGTTCTTAAGGCAATCTCCGAAACGTATAAGCCCCTAAAGCCTAGCCCATAAACCTTTCACCCTAAACCCCAAAACCTGGCTCTGATTTCGGCTCCCAGTCGCTGTCTGTGCGTAGTTCTTCACCTTTCAAAGCCGGCTCTCCTGACTCCTGCAATGGCGTCCGACAAGGTGGCCATCCACAGGGTTGATGGTTTAGGGTTCAGCGTTTAGGGCTTATTAGGGTTTAGGGGTTAGGGGGTGTAGGGTATGAAGTTTAGGGTTTAGGTTTCAGGGTTTCTAAACCCCTAAAGCCCACGCCGCGAGGTTGAGGTCTCGGATTTTGGAAGAGCACTGAGTACCCAGACCTCTGGGAGGATCCAAAAAATAGAGCCCCCAAATAGTACCCTTTACTACTATTGGGTCGTTCTTAGGTACCTTTAAGGGGATCTATTTTTGGATCCTCCCAGGGGTCTGAGTAGGGTCTTCCGCGTCTTCAGCGGTTCGCCATGATAGGGCACTTCGTGTCTCCCTAGCCGAAGCCCCAGGCCCTGAAGGCCATTGTTGGAGGTATGTTTAGGGTTTAGGATTTAGGGTTAGGGTTTAAGGTTTAGGGTTTAGGGTTTAGGGTTTAGGGTTTAGGGTTTAGGGTTTAGGGTTTAGGGTTTAGGGTTTAGGGTCTAGGGTTTAGGGTTTAGGGTTTAGGGTTTAGGGTTTAGGGTCCAGTTGAGTCGGGATCTAGGGCTTGTGGAGTCGAACCTAGCTGCCCAGGCACGGCAGGATCCAGAAAACACATCCCCTTCAGGGTTCCTTAAACCTAAACCCTAAACCCTAAACCCTAAACCCTAAACCCTAAACCCTTGAGGGTTCCTAAGCATGGCCCATAAGTAGTATAGGTCATTATTTGGGGGGTTCCGCTTTTTTGATCCTCCCAGAGGTCTGGGTTTGGGACACAAACCCTAAAGCCTAGACCCTCAACCCTCAACCCTCAACCCGCAGGTTCTTGCGATGGAGGAGGTTGCCAAGCACAACACCAAGGCCTTGACCGACATAGTACTTTGTAGGGTCATTGTGTGTATCGAAAATGTAGGGAAGGTAGGGTTCCTAGTTAGCGTTTAAAGAGGAAGTAGGGAGTAGGGCTTATGGTGAGTCGTATAGAGTTTACAGTTGGCTGACGCTGGCCCCAACGCCCGCAACCCGCCCCTACAAGCAGCAATGCATCTTGAACCGTGAAGCTCTAGAGTTCTCAGCTCAGAAGCACACCCTAAAGCCTAAAACCCCACACAACTTTGCGGGGGGCGGGCGGGGTATTCAGTCTGACCCCGGGATGCTTAGGGGTTTGTTTAGGAACCCATAGAGCTTAGAGAGACAATATGGTTAGAGTAGGGCTTACAGCGAGTATATGGTTCGAGTAGGGCTTAGAGAGAGTATATGGCAAGAGGGTTTAGGGTTTCAGGATTCTTCCCTAAACCCTAAACCCTAAACCCATGTTGAGGGGAACTTCTAGAGACGCGCAGGAGGATTGCTGGGTCGTCCTCTACGGCAAGGCCAGGGTTGTGGTTTAGGGTTTGGGGTTTGGGGTTTAGGGTTTAGGGTTTGGGGTGGAGGGTTGAGGGTTTAGGGTTTAGGGTTGATCTACAGCTGCTTTCTGTCGCCCTGGGGTGTCGAAGAAATCGTGGAGCAGCCACACTCCCTCTATGCGCTGCACGTCTTGAATAGCTCGGCGTTGTGTTGCATTCGTGCCTTGTGTCCAAGCGACTGAAAGTGCCCTCGCAAACCCAAACTTCTGCTCTTGAAGGCCTACGACCTCACGAAGTTCGCCAAGGCCCTTCGACTCGAGCCGAAAGTCCAGGCTTAGAAGTTTTATAAGGATGTTAGGGCTTAGGGGTTTGTCGGCCCTGATGCATCGGATGGTAAGGTATAGCCCCAGCCCTTCCAGCTCCCCTCTCCACCCAAACAACACAACTTCTCTCGAACCGCATCCCAGGGTTCAGAGTTCATGGGTTGCTGGGGTTGCAAGATCAGACCCCGCCCCCCTCACCTATGTGCGACACTTTGGCTTTGGGTATCTATGCTACTAAGCCCCCGATACGGGTAGCTGGGGCTTTGAAGAGGGTCTAGGCAACCCGAAAACAGTCGACTGTACCCTAAACCTTACACCCTAAAGTAAAACTAGACCCGACGCTCTGATCCGAAGTCCATGGGCAGAGGTGCACCCAGGCGGCGCCAAACTCATCACGGACGCAGCGGGCATGGACGCTTTGCCAAGCTTGAAGCAGCTCAGGTTTTGTCACGGGTGCCTCAGTTTTTGGGTGAAGAGCAGTTTTGGGATTAAGTGCAGCTGCTCTACTCATATCCTCAGTTGAAAGTACCTGTAAACCTTCAAGTCGTCGCGCGGCTATGGGGCCCGCAATCGCAGGCAGGTATTCTTGTGGGGCTCAATGGGGGATGGCTGAGGGGGGTGAAGACCCAAATCCTGCACTCTGTGCCAAGATTCGCCTCGAGCCGATAAACCCGAAGCCCGCTAAGGCCCAAGCCCTACATCTGGATAGTTTAGGAGTTAGGCACCATGTTTCCATCTGGAAACTAACCCCCTTAAATCCTGAGCCCCCTAAGCCTCCCCGACGAGCCGCCTGAACACCCCCTTAGCCCCCTAAACCCCTACGCGCAAATAGCACCCCAAATCCCCCCACCCCCTAAATGCCCGAAGCCCCCAAACACCAAACCCCTAAACCCTAAACCCTAAACCCTAAACCCTAAACAAAATGGGGAGCTGAGGATGCCACCGCCATCTTCGATCCGATCCACCCCAAGGACGCTCTCAGGGTCTAGGGAGTTTAGGGAGACCCTAAACCCCTAACCCTAACCCTAAACCCTTTAGGGTTTAGTGGGTCTAGGGTTCAGGGTTTAGCGAGTTGAGGGTGTAGGGTCACGTGCCCAGATTGAGCCCAAACCCTAAACCCTAAACCCTAAGCCCTAAACCCTAAACCCTAGACCCTAAACCCTAAACCCTAAACCCTACTAGGGTGTAGGGCTCCGGGCATGCCGCATCTGCGAGGACATCATGGACAAGCTGTTGAAGCCCTCGTTGACCATGGGAGCTGGGGACCCAAAGGGGGTGTACGTTGAGAACGCCGGTGAACAGTTTCCCAAGTCTGCTTAAGGACCTTTTGAAGACGACCCATTGCCATTTCTGTGAAGGGTTGAGGGGTGGGCGTGGAAGCTAACATGCGACTGGCTGCACTTCGGGGCATACAACCCTAATCCCTAAAACCCTAAAACCCCAAAACCCCTAAACCCTAAGACCCTAAGACCCAAAGACCCTAAAACCCTAAAACCCTGAAACCCTAAAGCCCTAAACCCTAAACCGTAAACCTGAATGAAGCCCTCAACCCCCCCCCCCCCCCCCCCCAGTGGCTTCATTGGAGTTCACAGCTCATAGGCTTGTCGGATTGGGCTCAGAACTCCAGGACTCAGGGAGTTCAGGGGCCCCGCGAAGTCTTCAACCCTAACCCCTAAACCCTAAACCCTAAACCTTAAACCCTAAACCGTTCACCCCCGTGAGGTCGTCGACACATCCACCATCAAGCCCGAGCATGTCGCCAAGCCTCCCGAGGTTGGGCGCCCCCATGAGCAGGTCTCTAAAGCAGGGCCCACTTCAGGTGGCTTGGGGCTGAAGGGGGATTAGGGTTTGGGGTTCGGGATTAGGTTTTAGGGCTAAACCCTAAACCCTAAACCCTAAACCCTAAACCCTAAACCCTAAACTCGAGGGAGAACAGGTGCACTTAGGGCTCTTCAAGAGTGGATGTCGCTCGCCAAGGCCCCCCGAAAGTCCCTAACATTCTCTCTCCCTAAGGGTCCATGTACCTACATAGTATCCATTTGGGCCCTAAAGCTACTATATAGGAACCCCTTTAAGGCCCAAGTATGTACTATATAGGTACATGGACCCTTAGGGTTCTCTAAGCTTCCTTACAAGATCAAAAACGCTGGGTGATAGGGGTTGGGGTCTTTTTGTAGGGCGTTGAGGTGTTTTGGCCACTTAGGCCTCTACGGAGTTCTGACCGAAACCCTAAACCCTAACCCGAAGTGCTCCCCCCGTTTCCCTGTGTTTAGCAGAGTTCAACTAGCAAAACGCACGCCTGGACATTTTCCGCATGCAAGCTCTTGAAGCCCTTATGAGGAGGCGCCCTTATAACCTCTGCACCTTGTTTGCGCCTAAGTAGCCCCAACCCAAACAAAGCCCCAAAGTCCTCGAAATAGCCCCCAAGCTACCCCCCAAAATAGCCCCGAACGTGTCTCAAGACAGCCCTAAATTAGCCCCAAAATCCCCACTATTGATTCGGGGCCTCCTGCAAGCCTCTTCCGGCTTTCCCCGAAGCATCTGAGACAGACAAGCCCGGAGGCCTCCCAAGCGCCAAGCTCTCGCGACAGGGAGGTGTAGGGTTTAGGGTTTAGGGTTTGGGGTTTAAGGTTTAGGGTTAGGGTTCCCCCCCCCCCCCTGTACTTTGCTAAGCATACTTAAGGCGCTTTCACAGGCTACACGTTGGAAAAGAACCCCGCGTAGTGCCTTTAGAACTCTGTACTTTGGGATATTCCCCCCTAAACTAACAGTCCTTACTAGGGATTTCTTTGGGGGTAATATAATTCCGATTAAGGACTGCTCGTAGAACAGGGAACATCCCAACCTGTACGCGACAAGCAAGCCCTAAGCCTGAACCCCAGCCCCGAGAGTCCAAGAACCCTGGCCCCCCAACCCTAAACCCTAAACCCTAAACCCTAAACCCTAAACCCTAAACCCTAAACCCTAAACCCTAAACCCTAAACCCTAAACCCTAAACCCTAAACCCTAAACCCTAAACCCTAAACCCTAAACCCTAAACCCTAAACCCTAAACCTAAACCCTAAACCCCCCCCCCCCCCCCCCCCCCAAACCCCCTCAGAGAGGCCCACAAGCCCAAGCCCAAGAAGAAGGCGGCCAGGAATCTCAGGAAAGCAGAATCTCAGGGACGGGGCGGGGGGTTTAGAAGCTCTGCTTGTATCTTTCTATGCAAAACTTAGGGTTCACTCGAAACGCCCTCTGTTTCTTGAAGGTTCCAAGTAAGGGCGTCTGAACCGAAATTCCCCTTCGGGTGAATAAACCCTAAACCCCAAACCCCAAACCCTAAACCCTAAACCCCAAACCCTAAGCCCTAAACCTTTCGGGTGAATTCCCAGGGCCCCATTTGGGGCGACTCTTAGCTTCAGCAGCCCCACAGGGCCCTTAGGATCATCTACCTACCCGGCGCCACCCTGATTCCTATCTTTAGCCTTTGCATGTGTGTATATATATATATGCGCGCGCATGCGTATATATATATATATAGATAGTATATGTGTACACATAAAAACTCTAAACCCTAAACCCTTTGGGCCTCAGGTCAAGGCAGATGCGGGCGCGGAGGAGGTGGAGGAGGAGTTCAAGAAGCCACCTCTGGCGGCGGAGCCAGCGCTTTTGTTCCGGGTGCCAGGCTTTTGGGTTTCGGACTTTTGCGTTGAGGCTTTGCACTGCTGGTTTCCTTTGCCTACAGCGAAGCATTCAGCCACACCCTAAACCCGAAACCCTAAACCCTAAATCCCAAACCCTAAATCCCAAACCCCTAAACCCCTATACTAAACCTTAAAACCCTAGAAGCCCTAAAGCCCTAGAGCCATAAAACCCCTAAACCCCTAAACCCCTCAACCCCTGAACCCCTAAACCCCTAAACCCCTAAACCCCTAAACCTTAAAGCCCTAAAACCTTAAAGCCCTAAAACCTTAAAGCCCTAAAACCCTTAATACCCTAAACCCTAGAGCCCTAAACCCGAAAGCCCCGAAAGCCCGGCCCTGAGCCAAAACCACAAAGCCTGAAACCTCACCAGACTTTAGGACCTCGAAGGCATGTGAGACCCCTCTTTTTCAAGGGATTTAGGCTCGTACCCCTAAGGTTCTTTAGTGCTTAGGGTTCAGGGATAAGGTTTAGTGTTTAGGGTCTAGGGTTTAGGGTTTATATGCTCCCAAAACGGCCCTTCTACTAGCCTAAGGATCTTTAAAAGGGGTCCCCAAAACCCAAGGGTACAACCATCAGGGTCCAAGGTACCACCCCTAGACTTATGCACTCATGACATCATAATTCTGTCCACAGCCCTAATCCCTAGAACCCCCTAAAGCCCCTAAAACCCCTGTAAAGCTCTGAGCCCTAAACCCCCAAAACCCCTGAACTCCTAAGCCCAAACAAAACCTAAAGCTACCCTAAACCCTACACCCTAAACCCTAAACCCCTAAAACCCCTGAACTCCTAAGCCCAAACAAAACCTAAAGCTACCCTAACCCTACACCCTAAACCCTAAACCCCTAAAGCCCCTGAATTCCTAAGCCCAAACAAAACCTAAAGCTACCCTAAACCCTCCACCCTAAACCCTAAACCCCTAATTAAAACTTCCCTAAACCCCTAGTAGTTCGAGGTCGACATGAAACCCTCAACCCTACATCCTAAACCCTAAGCCCCCAATAAAAACTACCCTAAACCCTACACCCCTAAACACACCCATAAAGCCCCTAAAGCCCTTAAAACCCTAGAAACCCCTGAAACCCTAGAAACCCTAAACCCTAAACCCTAAACCCTAAACCCTAAACCCTAAACCCTAAACCCTAAACCCTAAACCCTAAACCCTAAACCCTAAACCCCAAACCCTAAACCCTACCCCGAACAAACCTTGAGCTCCGCATGCCAGGCCATGCTCAACAGCTTCGACTTCGAGTCGGTGGCCCGCGAGGCCCGGGCTCTTTCCCTTGAGGTAACCCTAAACCCTAAACCCTAAACCCTAAACCCTAAACCCTAAACCCTGAACCCTGAACCCTAAACCCTAAACCCTAAACCCTTGATTGTTTCCGGGGCTTTGGTGTCATTTTGTCACAAATCTTTGGCCCGCAGAGCTCCTCGAAGTACAGGGTACTGGCTTTGGGGAGTCGGTCTGTGCAGGGCCTCTAGACAAAGGCTGAGGGGTTTCTTCTAGGCCTTAAGAGGAGCAACCCCTAGACGATAAACCCTAAACCCTAAACCCTAAACCTTAAACCCTAAACCCGAAACCAGAAACCAAAAACAGGTCTCCGAAGCATCCCTTTAATCCCTTTAGTCTACTTTAGGGTGTGGGGTACGGATGCACCCCTGAAGCCCTGGAGCCCTTGAACTGAAGCAAAAACCTAAGTCAGTAGACCTAAACCCTAAACCCTAAACCCTAAACCCTAAACCCTAAACCCTAAACTTCTCAAACCTGAAGCCCCAAGGCGGGTCACTTCCAGTTGTGTGTGACAAGGTTCACCAGCGGGCACTTGGGTCGCTTAGGTAACTTGGGGTCGATAGGGTTTAGGGTTTAGGGTTTAGGGTTTAGGGTTTAGGGACACACTTGGAACCTTCGTGTCACTTGGCTCGTTGGTAGCACTTGGGCCACTTGAACACTTGGGTGACTTTGAACACGGAGCACTTGGAGCACACTTCGGTCGCTTGGAGAGGGTTTAGGGTTTAGGGTTTAGGGTTTAGGGTTTAGGGTTTAGGGTTTAGGGTTTAGGGCTTACTTGAAACACTTGGAGCACTTCTGGGGGGCACTGGCAGACTGGCGCTGGGGACACCAGATGCCTCGGACACGTGGGACACTTACACTTGGGTCACTTCCAGGGGCATGGCACGGGGCCCTAAACCCTAAACCCTAAACCCTAAACCCTAAACCCTAAACCCTAAACCCTAAACCCTAAACCCTAAACCCTAAACCCTAAACCCTAAACCCGACCATCGCTTGGGACGTTGGGGTCACTTGGGTCACTTGTGTCACTTGGGGCACTTGGCTCACACGGAACACTGGCGAGAAGGGATGCCCTTCCGTCACCAAAAATTAACTTGTGCCATGGAGCTGAAAAGAACGCATGAGTCTCTTGCAACATTGGGTCACCACGGGAGGCACTTGGAGCACACGCTTGGGACGCTTAGAGCACTTGGGAGCACTGGCGCTGGGGACGCCTCATTCGCTTGGTCGCTTGGGGCTCTTGTGTCACCTGGATCCACTTGGCACTGTTTCACTTGGGGTACTTGGCACACTTGGCTCGCAGCACTTGGGATGCATCAAGGGGCCTCTCACACACTTGCTAGGGCCAGGGTCATGGGCTGAGAGGCCTGTTACGAATCAAATTTCGTGTACCCTGTCCCAGCCTCCAACACCCTTCCAGGCTTGTTTTGGTGTTTCCCGAGCCTTTTGCAGCTTCCTTCAGGGTGTCTTTTGTGTAATCCTAAACCCTAAACCCTAAACCCTAAACCCTAAGCCCTAAGCCCTAAGCCCTAAGCCCTAAGCCCTATGTTTGGGAGGCTGACGGTTTAGTGTGGCTGGCACTTGGGGGAAGGTGCGTCTGAGAGGGATGGCGGTTTGTCAAGCCATCCTCTTTCATCATGAGCATCCCTAGACCTTACAAGGAGGGGCCCCTCTAGTTATAAGTAGAGGGTTTAGGGTTCAGGGTGTAGAGTTATAAGGACCTTAAATTGGGTTATAAGGATCCTAACTCAGGTTACAAGGCCCTTAACTATAGTTAGTTTGGCAAAGGGGCCCTCCCCAAGTTCACCTCAATCCAGCCTGGCTGAGGGATTAAATTAGGGATGAGGATATGCTGTGGGTTTTGGTTTCGGCCGCGTTTTTGTCTCGCAGCCCTAAACCATGCCGCTGACATGCAGCACAGAGCCTTCTGTGCATGCTAGGGATACCCTGAATTAGTCCTACTACGCTTGTACCCAAAATGTGGCACCCAATTTACCACGAGGATAGGCAGGGTTCCCCCCAAAACTCCCGCCTTTGTTTGACTGACCCGGCATCATGTCGATTTCAGTCCATGTACACCTGCTGAGCGGCGCGAACGTGACGTTGGCAACGGAGCCAGAAGAGTCTGTCGCTAGCCTGTGCCAAAGATCCCAGGGCGCGCTTAGAGTAGGCAAGGGAAGGCTGTTGACAACCTCTGGAGATACGTTGGCCGGAGGTAAAGTCAAGCAAGCACGTTTGCGGACAGGTTTGCCTAATGTCCCATCGGAAAGGAGCATCTGCCTTTGCTGCTCTCCTGGGTGATGGATCTGTAGTGACTTGGGGCCATTCAAATTTGGGCGGCGACAGCAGTGCCGTACAAGAGCAGCTCAAGAACGTGCAGCAGGTGCAAGCCTCCAAAGGGGCGTTTGCAGCGATCCGGGCTGATGGATCTGTGGTGACCATGGGTGATGTTGAACACGGAGGCGACAGCAGTGGCGTACAAGAGCAGCTCAAGAACGTGCAGCAAGTGCAAGCTTCCGTATCGGCTTTTGCTGCAATCCGGGCTGATGGATCTGTGGTGACCTGGGGCAAGGAAGTCCTTGGTGGCGACAGCAGTGTCGTACAAAAGCACCTCAAGAACGTGCAGCAGGTGCAAGCTTCTGAAGGTGCTTTTGCCGCTATCCGGTCTGATGGATCTGTGGTGACGTGGGGCCATGCCTTGTTCGGCGGCGATAGCGGTGCTGTAGAAGAGCAGCTCAAGGACGTGCAGCAGGTCCAAGCTTCTCAAGCCGCTTTTGCCGCTATCCGGGCTGATGGATCTGTGGTGAGCTGGGGCAATGCTGTCGGTGGCGGCGACAGCCGTGCCGTAGAAGATCAGCTCAAGAATGTGCAGCAGGTGCAAGCTTCTTTATCAGCATTTGCTGCGATCCGGGCTGATGGATCTGTGGTGACCTGGGGCTATGCAGGCTGGGGCGGTGACAGCAGTGCCGTACAAGAGCAGCTCAAGAACGTGCAACAGGTGCAAGCTTCTTCCTGTGCGTTTGCTGCGATTCGGGCTGACGGAACTGTCGTGACTTGGGGCCATGCCGGCCGGGGAGGCGACAGCAGTGCCGTACAAGAGCAGCTCAAAAATGTGCTTCAGGTGCAAGCTTCTTTATCAGCATTTGCTGCGATCCGGGCTGATGGATCTGTGGTGACGTGGGGCCATAGGCATTTCGGCGGCGATAGCAGTGACGTAGAAGATCAGCTTAAGAACGTTCAGCAGGTGCGAGCTTCTGTGTCGGCGTTTGCTGCGATCCGGGCTGATGGATCTGTGGTGACCTGGGGCGATGCACTTTTGGGCGGCGACAGCAGTGCCGTACAAGGGGAGCTCAAGAAAGTGCAGCAGGTGCAAGCTTCTGAGGGGGCGTTTGCTGCGATCCGGACTGGTGGATCTGTGGTGACCTGGGGCCATGTAGCCTGGGGTGGCGACAGCAGTGCCGCACAAGATCAGCTAAGGAGCATCGCAGATCCTCCAGCCTGAATTTGTAAGGTCCATGTGCCGACATAGTACGTACTTGCGCCTTAAAAGGGTTCCCACATCGTAGCTGTAGGGAAATACTATTTTGGTACATGGACCTTTAGGGAATGTAGCCCTAAACCCTGTAAACCCTAAGCCCTAAACCCTAAACATCCCTAAACCCCAAACCCTAGTAGTTTAGGGTGAAAAGAAGCTTCCGAAGATATCGAAGAGCTTCAAGCCAGTCTCACTGCAGTCGGTGCCTTGAGAGCAACACAAACCCTGTTTCGCTACTTGGAAATATTTGTCGGTTTAGGGCTTAGGGTTTAGGGTTTAGGGTTTAGGGTTTAGGGTTGTTATTGTTTGTTCTGTTTGTTGTGTATTTTCTTTGTGTGTTTTTCTTGTCTCACACAGCATTTCTTGGCATGTTCCCCCTTATACTAACAGTCCTTAACAGGGATCAAAAATAGGGGGTACTCGATTCCCTATTATTAAGGACTGTTGGTATAGGGGGGAACATCGCAAAGGCATTTTGGCTTCTTGCTTTTCTTTTTTCCCACCCTCAGTGTGGAGTTGTTAGATGTTAAGTCAACCGTGCTCGTCGCCTGCTCGCCTCCTCGCCTCCTCAACACGGCCCCACGTTTTTTTCCTGGGAACCCTAAACCCTAAACCCTAAACCCTAAACCCTAAACCCTAAACCCTAAGTCCCGCAGAGAAACCCGCAGAGAACTGCCCACTCGCAGAAACCGGAGAGCCCACCCCACTTGCCCACCCCCAGAGAAGTACGCAGAGAGCCCCTAAACCCGCTAAACCCTAAACCTGAACCCCTAAACCTTAAACCCTAAACCCTAACCCCTAAACCCTAAACCCTAAACCCTAAACCCTAAGCCCTAAACCCTAAACCCTAACCCCTAAACCCCAAAACCTGAAAGCTGCAGGCTAAGCCACCACAAAGCCTCAAGCCCTGAAACCTGAAAGGCCGACAGCCAAAACTAGGGGCTCAGGGCCTATAGGGCTTAGGGTTTATAGGGCTTATTAGGGCTTTGGGTTGAGGGTTTAGGGCTTCCAACCCCCTTTCCCCCCTAAAAACATCCCGCGCCCGGTAGGTCATGGAGCCACAGGCTTGGGGCTACTATTCCAGTGGAGGCACCTATGGTGCAAACCCTAAACCTTAAACCCTAAACCCTAAACCCTAAACCCTAAACCCTAAACCCTAAACAGTTTCCCTTCGTGCTTCCGGGACGGCTTCGTTGTCTCGGGGGTGCAGGTAGAGACTTTACATCAGGGGTTTCCCTACTACCTCTATACTACCCCCCCTAGGTTCGCCCCTTTCCATAACCTTGAGCCCTAAACCCCAAAATCCCGATGGGGGGGGGGGAACCTAGGGGGGGGCAGGGGGGGGCGCGGGGGGATGGTAGTAGCCCTGTAGCCCAAACCCTAAACCCTAAACCCTAAACCCTAAACCCTAAACCCTAAACCCCTAAACCCTAAAACTAGTATAGAGGGGGGGGGGGGGAAGTAGGGGAACCCATGATTACAGCCTTGGACTCGGGAGCTCATTCGGGTTGAAGGGCTCAGGGCTTGTCATTCTCGTCTTCGGGTTTTGGAGTTTAGGGTTTAGGGTTTAGGGTTTAGGGTTTAGGGCTACAAGCCCGACCTAAACCCTAAACCCTGAACCCCAAACCCCAAACCCTAAACCCCAAACCCTGGCCCTAAACCCCGTAGGGCGCGTGAGGGCGTGCGCCTCAGGGTCTCCCTGAAAATCCCCTATAACCCCTATAGGGGGCCCTCAGAAAAGGCCCTTTAGATCTAAAGGGCAGTTATATGGGCCCTTAGCACTTCTTTTCATGAATCACGGAAGAGAGAGAGGGCGGGGGGTATGGTCTTGTTCCGGCCTTATTCCAGCCTTAATTCCATCCTGAATCCTCAAAAAAAGGGCGAAATAAGGAGGAAATTGGACAAAATTAAGGGCAAAATGAGGACGGAGCCCGTTTTCTGTGAGAAGGTCCCAGGATTCCGGGGTCCGGGCAAGTGCGTTCGGCGTCCCGCACGCGGATTTGACTTTCCAAAACCCTATCCAGGCTTATTTCGCCTTTGAAAAACACGTAGGGTTTAGGGTTTAGGGTTTAGGGTTTAGGGTTTAGGGTTTAGGGTTTAGGGTTTAGGGTTTAGGGTTTAGGGTCCCCCTCACCACTGGGCTACCCTAAAACCTGAACTCTAATCCCCAACCCTAAACCCTAAACCCCCAAAAGGGCCCAGTGGTGGCGTTGACCCCAAGTTGGCACTTGGCCAGACGCAAGATGCAACGGCATCAACACGAACTCCAATCTTAGGGGTTTAGGGTTTAGAGTTTAGGGGGTTAGGGTTTAGGGTCTAGGGTTTAGGGTTAACCCCAAACTTGGGGTAGCTACATGGTCCCTTAGTATGGTCCCTGAAAAGGGGACCCCTTGCCTATGAACCCTGTAACACCAAGGGGCCCATACTTCAGAACCCTTTGAAGGAGGTAAGGGACCACATTGAAGGATCCTAAACCTAAACCCTAAACCCTGAACCCCTAAACCCTCAACCCTAAACCCTAAACCCTCAACCCTAACCCCAAAACCCACATCCATCTCGGAGGCGATGATGAGATCACCTTGCGTGACAACCATCTTGCCTTCCAGAGGATCACCATGCGCCCGCGCATCCTTGTGACCTGTCAGGCTTTAGGGTTTAGGGTTCAGGGTTTAGGGTTCAGGGGTAGGGCATTAAGCTTCTTTTTTAAGGTGCTTGGGTATTGGTTGGGGCGGAGGGTGACAGCAACATGCAACAACGAAACCTCCTTATGTTCGTGTCATAACCCTAACCCCCCAAGAAGGTATTTAAAGAAGCGCAGTGTACATGCACGAAAAGGAAGATACCACTGCTTACGCTATGTAGCCCGCAATCCAACAGAGCCCTACACCGTACTCGTCAGTTTGAATAGGGTTTAGGGATTAGGGAATACATAGGTCTCAGAGCTTTAGGGTACAGGGTTTGGGCGAAGTTCTGTGGACCGAACTAGACGCGTCGAGGTTCAGGGGTTTCGGATTGAGGGCTTAGGGTTTCAGGCTTGGGGCTCAGCGGTTTTCAGGGTTTACGGGTTTTCGGGTTTAGGGTTTAGGGTTTAGGGTTTAGGGTTTAGGGTTTAGGGTTTAGGGGTGCAGCGTTTAGAGGGGCTTAGGGGTTTACAGGTCCAGGGGCTTTGGGGGCCTTTCCTGCGAGGGAGGGCTCATGTCTTGGGGCCGGGAACCCTAAACCCTAAACCCTAAACCCTAAACCCTAAACCCTAAACCCTAAACCCCTAAACCCCTAAACCCCTAAACCCCTAAACCCCTAAACCCCTAAACCCCTAAACCCTAAACCCTAAACCCCTAAACCCCTAAACCCTAAACCCGAAACCCCTATACCCTATACCCTATACCCCTAAACCCTAAACCCTAAACCCTAAACCCTAAACTCTAAACCCTAAACCCTAAACCCTAAACCCTAAACCCTAAGCCCAACCCTACTGCAAAGAGGTACCCACCAGGGCACCCAGATGACTCAAGAACATGTCATGCTGACTTCTTGTCAAGGGACGAAAGGAGGGACCCTTATAAGGGACCAAAGGAGGTCTTAAGGGGTTATCTAGGGGCTACCTAGGTATATAGGGACTATAGAAGGTGTGTATACATAAATAAATAAATAAATATGAATATATATATATATATATATATGTATGTATGTAGGGGTCATATATTACCCCTAAACCCTACACCCATATAGGGACTGGATGTAGGGTCCCTTCTGGGGGTCCCTCCCTATGCGCCGTAGTTCTTGAGGTTAACGTCAGGGAGATCGATATGACGACGCCTCCTGTCTCAGCTTAGGGCGTACAGGGCTTAGGGTTTTGGGTTTTGGGTTTTGGGTTTATAAGGTTCATAGGTGTTCTACAGTTTGGCAGTCCGGGCTGGGAAATGGCGGTGCCTACGGTAGTGCTGTGGTTTGAGTTTGCGACGCAGGGCTTAGGGTTTTAGGGTGTAAGGTGGTGCGGGGGGTCTTGTGGTTTGTGGCGTGGGTTTCAGGCTCTCGGGTCTAGGATTTGCGGCGTGCTGCTTGAGGAGGAGCCGTTGTTGAGTGTTAAAGCCTAAGAACCCTGTGCCGAGGGCGTGCAATCGGAACAGCAGTAGTTGAAAGTTAAAGGCAATGCGCTCTTGAATACTCGTAAGAAGAAAACCCTAAACCCTAAACCCTAAACCCTAAACCCTAAACCCTAAACCCGTGCCAAGCAATCGGCATCTTCGCTGGCTCATGCTTCGGCTCACGTCGAAGATCTGCTGGTTTCACAGCCGTGGCTTTTGAAGTGCTCGTTGTAGCTTCGGGATCAGGGTTCAGGGTTTAGGTTCTAGGGTTTAAGGGTTAAGGGTTAAGGGTTAGGGGTTTAAGGGTTTAAGGGTGTAATTGAGGGTTTTGAGGGTTTTGAGGGTTTTGAGAGTTTTAGGGGATGTGAGGTGACATTTGAAAGCTTGAGGTTTCCAAGCGTCCAGGGCCCAGGGGTGGGCCCGGCGGGCGACCGAGGCGGCATCATGTCGATTTCAGTCCATGTGCACGTCCTGAGTGGCAGGAGCGTGACTTTGGCAACGGAGCCGGAAGAGTCGGTCACCAGCTTGTGCCAACGAGCCCAGGGGGCTCTGAGAGTTGGCATGGGAAGGCTGCTGACAAGCTCTGGACATACGCTGGGCGGAGGTACAGTCAAGCAAGCAGGTTTACAAGACAACGACGTGCTGTCCCTGCATGTGGGACAGGTTCGAATTAATTCTCCAAAGTCGATTTCATGGAAAAGGTTTCACAGCTCCCAGTCACGGTCCCAGTCTGATGCCTTTGCTGCACTCCTGGGTGACGGATCTGTAGTGACGTGGGGCCATGCACGCTGGGGCGGCGACAGCAGTGCCGTAGAAGAGCAGCTCAAGAACGTGCAGCAGGTGCAAGCTTCAATTGGGGCGTTTGCTGCGATCCGGGCTGATGGATCTGTGGTGGTCTGGGGCGAAGTTGGCCGGGGCGGCGACAGCAGTGCCGTACAGGAGCAGCTCAAGAACGTGCAGCAGGTGCAATCTTCTTTTGGAGCGTTTGCTGCGATCCGGGCTGACGGATCTGTGGTGATCTGGGGCAATGCAGGCTGGGGCGGTGACAGCAGTGCCGTACAAGAGCAGCTCAAGAACGTGCAGCAGGTGCAAGCATCTTCTAGTGCGTTTGCTGCGATTCGGGCTGACGGATCTGTCGTGACTTGGGGCGATGCCGGCCGGGGGGGCGACAGCAGTGCCGTACAAGAGCAGCTCAAACATGTGCAGCAGGTGCAAGCTTCTGAATGGGCGTTTGCTGCAATCCGGGCTGACGGATCTGTGGTCACCTGGGGCGAAGTTGGCCGGGGCGGCGACAGCAGTGCCGTACAAGAGCAGCTCAAGAGCGTGCAGCAGGTGAAAGCTTCTTTCGGGGCGTTTGCTGCGATCCGGGCTGATGGATCTGTGGTGACCTGGGGCTATGCAGGCTGGGGCGGTGACAGCAGTTCCGTACAAGAGCAGCTCAAGAACGTGCAGCAGGTGCAAGCATCTTCTAGTGCGTTTGCTGCGATTCGGGCTGACGGATCTGTCGTGACTTGGGGCGATGCCGGCCGGGGGGGCGACAGCAGTGCCGTACAAGAGCAGCTCAAAAATGTGCAGCAGGTGCAAGCTTCCTTCGAGGCATTTGCTGCGATCCGGGCTGACGGATCTGTGGTTACCTGGGGCGAAGTTGGCCGGGGCGGCGACAGCAGTGCCGTACAAGAGCAGCTCAAGAACGTGCAGCAGGTGCAATCTTCTTTTCGGGCGTTTGCTGCGATCCGGGCTGACGGATCTGTGGTTACCTGGGGCTATGCAGGCTGGGGCGGTGACAGCAGTGCCGTACAAGACCAGCTCAAGAACGTGCAGCAGGTGCAAGCTTCTGAGCGGGCGTTTGCTGCTATCTTGGCTGATGGATCTGTGGTGACGTGGGGTTGTGCTGATGACGGCGGCGACAGCAGTGCTGCACAAAATCAGCTGAGGAGTATCTCAGAGCCTCTATCCTGAACGTACTCGTAGCTGCTTAGGTTTAGTCGAAGTTTGTGAAGGAACCGAAATCGGCCGCTATTCCCAAAACCCTGCTGATCACCATCCCTCCCCATGTTTGCTCAATTACTCAGAGCCAGCGTCAACGCCAGCTGAACCCTAAACAGGCCTCAAACCTTAAACATCCCTAAGCCCTAACCCCTTAAGCCTTAACCCTAAACATCCCTAAACCCTGAAACCCTTCTTGGACCAATTTCAGGATGATCCCAGGAGAGACGCAGGAACAAAAGCTTCGCAAGATCTTTCAGGTTTAGGGCTTAGGGTGTAGGTTTACGGTGTTCAACAGCCACTTCATTGAGGGCAATCTCTGAGGTTGCCTACTAAGACCCAGTATTTATCCTTTTTCCCTTTCTTGATGTTTTTTGGCTTCCATACGAGCCCTAAACCATAAAGTTCAGGCCTAAAGTCTACCTTTTTGTTGTAAGCAGGCTGGTTCTAGCCCTTCGTCCTCAGGCATTGAGACCCTTGGGTCACGAGTTTCAGATATTCGCAAAGTAAAACCAAGACTTTAGGCCTTAAACCCGAAGTAGCTCTAAACTCTAAACCCTAAAGCCCACAGTCCTTCTGCTTTCGGCAAAGAGGCTGACCCTGTTTATGGCCCGCATTGGGTCTCGTCTTTGTTGTGTTCATTACAGTTTCAGGTACACAATAGCCTAAAAACTCTGTACCTGTTGTTTGAACCCTAAACCCTAGACCCATTTTTGAACTCCGGGCCCCGTTCAGGGTAAAGGTGGTATCCAGGGCTCCCCTAAACCCTAAACCCTAAACCTAGGGTTTAGGGTTTAGGGTTTAGGGTTTAGGGTTTAGGGTTTAGGGTTTAGGGCTTAGGGTTTAGGGTTCAGGGTTCAGGGTTCAGGGTTCAGGGTTTAGGCTTGATCACGAAGCCCTAAACCTTTCTTTCATTCAATTAAAGAGAGCTCTATGGTTCCTGAATATGGTCCCTTGCCTCCTTTAAAAGGTTCTGAAGTATGGATTGTCTTGAATATTTCAGGGGTATATAAGGGCCCCCTTATACGTGCCCATACTCAGGGACCATGTAACTACCCTAAGATAGGGATTAGCCCTAAACCCGAAACCCGAACCCTAAACTCTAAGCCCTAAACCCCAAACCCTAAACCCGAAACCCTAAACCCTAAACCCGAAACCCTAAACCCCTTTCAGCTTTTTGGGGCCTGAGTTCTTAAGTTTTCGGCTCCAGGGCGTCTCCGGATCGCTTCCTTTCCTGCAACCGCCTAGCAAAACCACATTGTGCCCTCAGAACCCTCAACCCTAAACCCTAAACCCTAGACCCTAAACCCTTTTTAGGAACCCTGACCCTTATAAACCCTGGACCCTAAACCCTATTTTTTTGCTTACAGGGTTTAGAAGGGTCCTGTTTAGGAATATCTTTTCGAAGGGAGCCATAGGCCCCAAATGACCAGTTGCCAGCCTAAAGCCTTTTGTGTGGCGTTTTTTTTGTGTGCTGTTTTGGGTTTAGGGTTTGAGGTTTGGGGTTTTGGGTTTTGGGGGTTTTGAGTTTAGGGTTGAGGGGCTGCCAAGTACCTGCTTTCCCTTCCCTACCTTACCCTTTGTAGAGTGTAAATAGAGTGTTCACAATTTGTAGAGTGTTGGTGCTTAGAGGGTTTAGGTACCCAAGATACTAGCCGCTAGAACACCCTGCATTTCAGAGCTTAAAACCCTGAGTCTGGAGGATGCGGTTTTGAAGTTTTGCAGGGTTGTAGCATCTGAAGATGGCTGAAGTGTATATGGTTTAATCACATCCCCCTTGCAATTAAAAAAACAAAAAAACGCTTTCCGGAAAGTCCTGCCGAAACCGACCCGCCTCTTAAACCGTCTTCCGAACTAGGGGGTGGGTTCAGGGCCTCAAACACCTGCAAGGCAATCTAAACCGTATCCCAGAAGATGGCATATGGATAAAAACACCCCCCCTAATATTATTAAAAACACACACTTCCAGTTTCTATTGCAGGGGGGGGGGGGGCTTTAGTGATAGGGAGATGGGATTATAGGGTTTAGGTTTTTAGGGTTGTTGTGTCTGGGTTCAGGAGATTACAGGCGATGCTATTTCGGGAACGCGCCAAGGATCACCCTAAACCCTATAAGCCCTAAACCCCGAACCCCAAACCCGAAACCCGAAACCCCAAACCCTAAACCCCAAACCCTAAACCCCAAACCCCAAACCCTAAACCCCAAACCCTAAACCCCAAACCCTAAACCCTAAACCCGAAGGAAGATCTTGGGGGTTCCAGCCTCCCTTCCGCTCTACTTCACCGCTACCGCGCTCGCCAAGCTCGCGCACCAGGCGCAGAGTCGGCGCTGGGTTCTTGGTACTAGGGTTTAGGGTTTAGGGTTTAGGGTTTAGGGTTTAGGGTTAGGGTTTAGTGCTACCACTATTTGCTTGAGATCCACCCCCAAACATAAACGATAATAATCCCTATGTGGCCCGTATAAGGAAGAATATTTCAATTTTGGTGAGTTTCTTAAGCAATTGGTAGTTTAGAGTTGAGGACTGTTGGGGTTTTTCATTTTAGGGCTTTGGGTTTGGGATGTTCTCAAGCAGCGATGCTCCTCGACCTAGACCGTCCAAGCAGGTTCTTCCTGGCGTAGCTAGGATTTAGGGTGTAAAGTGCATGCAGAAATCGGTGATGGGGCCGGAAGTTGCAGATTCTGTGCCGCATACAGTTTCGCAGTCGTCGACCCGTCTGCAAATAGGGCCCTTTTGGGGTTAGGTGCCGTACTCTTTTAGGAGACCCCAAAAGAGAACCTACCAGAGAACAAAGCATGTGCTGCAGACTTCGTAAACAGCCATGGTCCATGGTTGTGCCCTGCAGCCTCAGGTCTGTAGAATGTATGCTAAACCCTAAACCCTAAACCCTAAACTCGGAACCCTAAACCCTAAACCCTAAACTCGAACTCGGAACTCTAGAATCCCTGAACCTTATCTAGAGCCCACAGTCGGCCCTTCTTCCGTTTGTTTAGGGCTTGGGTTCCCTTAGAACCCCCTTGAAGCCAGAAAGGGGGCACCCTTTCTGTTCCTAGGTTACTCCTCTGGGTCACCCTGAACCCTAAACCCTAAACTCCTAAACCCCTAAACTCCTAAACCCTAAAACCTAAACACTTTTAGAGACTCGAGATTCTCCCAAGCCCTCCTTGCCGCAGGAAGGCGAGCTGGCCATCGTGAAGGACTGACATCCCATATTGAGACAACCCTTTAGGGTTTTGGGTTTAGGGCTAGGGTTTAGGGTTCGGGGTTTAGGGTTTAGGGCTAGGGTTTAGGGTTCGGGGTTTGGGGTTTGGGGTTTAGGGTTTAAGGCTCGGTTTTGGTCTGGGCTGTTCAGGGTCTTGGACCACGACCCTCGGGCCTAGGGGTCCATGTACCTCATGATTATATACTTGGGCCCCAAAGTCCTTATATAACGAGTACTTTAAGGCCCAAGTATTCCCGATTTAGGTACATGGACCTTTATGGTGAGGCTCTTATTTGTTGTTCCTTTTGTTCGACAGCCTTCGAACTTTACATGTCCTGCGTGGCCTTTTGGTGTTGGCACTACCTGCCAGGCCGCCAAGAAGGCGGGCGTGCCGTACATGCTGCCCACGCTGAGCTCCTACACCCTGGACGAGATGCTGGCGGCGCGCACCCCGGACCAGGTGGTCTTCAGCCAGCTCTACGTGAACCCGGAGCGGTCCCGCAGCGAGGAGTACGTGGCCAAGCTGGAGCAGGCGGGTGTGCAGGCCCTCTTCGTGACCGTGGATGCGCCGCAGCTTGGCCGCCGCGAGAAGGACATGCGCAACAAGTTCACCCAGCAGGGCTCCGACGTGCAGGGCGACGACGAGGATGAAGGTGCTGTGGACCGCTCCCAGGGTGCCACCCGCGCCATCAGCAGCTACATCGACCCTGGCCTCAACTGGGAGGATGTGCCTTGGCTCAAGAGCATCACCAAGATGAAGGTGCTGTTGAAGGGCGTCCAGTGCGCGGAGGATGCAGTGATGGCCTACAAGTCCGGTCTTGCTGGCTGCGTGTTGTCCAACCACGGTGGACGCCAGCTGGACACCTGTCGCCCGGGCATCGAGGTCCTCCCTGAGGTCATGGAGGCCGTCAGGGCAGCGGGTGCCACCAAGGAGAACTTCGCCGTCTTCATCGATGGCGGCGTGCGCCGCGGCGGCGACGTTTTCAAGGCGGTGGCTCTCGGCGCAGAGGCCGTGGGCGTGGGCCGACCGGTGCTGTACTCCCTGGCTTCCTACGGCCAGAACGGCATCGTCCGCATGGTCCACATGCTCCAGGACGAGCTGCAGATGGTCATGCGCCTGGCCGGCACCCCGAACATCCCCAGCATCACGGAGAAGCACGTGATCACCACCAACCTCGCCGACCACATCGTGCCCCTGCCCATCGACAACCTCACGCACAAGACCTACCAGGGCCTGGAGCCCGCCGCCAGGCTCTAAACCGGGAGGCCAGGCGATCACCAGTCCCCTTAAGCCCTTTGAATCCCCATCCCTGAGTACACTTTACACTGCTTGGGATACCCTAATCCCCTATATCACTGAACGTCTACACTTTTTTGGGGGCTTGTGAACTCAGCAACTAGGCACCCCTGCAGGACAGGTGGTTGCGAGTTGTTACACCGGCCCTGCCGACATCTGAATCCAGATGCTCAAGGCCTGGTCGGCGTTGAGGGTTTAGGGTTTAGGGTTTAGAGTTTAGGGCTTAGGGCTTAGGGTTGAGGGTTTAGTGTTTAGGGTTTATGTGTCTTGACTTGACTCTAATAAGGGGTATACTTAAAAGGGGCCCCCCTTTTAAGGGCCCAGAATAAGGGACCATGTAGCTACCCGAAGATAGTGTTTAAGGTTTGTGTGTGTGTTGACTCCTGGAGTCCCAGGGCACCCTGGGTTTAGGGTTTAGGGTTTAGGGTTTAGGGTTTAGGGTTTAGGGTTTAGGGTTTAGGGTTTAGGGTTTAGGGTTTAGGGTTGCATCCCATTCTCTACGTGCTCCCCTTCCGTAAGATTTAGGCTAGCTCGTGTGAAGCACGATCCATTACACTTCACACTTTCTGGGATACTACAATCCCCTATAGAACTGAACGTGTACATTTTCTTTGGAGGCTTATGAACTCAGCAACTAAGATGATATGATGCTGTGCAACTACAAGGGCTTGTGTCGAGCGCGACTTGCAAGCGCTAAACCTACAGCTCCTCGTGCACACTAGGCCCGCATGTATATGAAACCACACAGGCCTCCCATGCCCAAACCGGCGGGCTGAACAAACCCTAAACCGAAACCCTAAGCCCTAAACCCCAAGCTCGACACCCTAAACCCTATCAAGTCTAAACCCTATACCTTATATGGGTTGGTGGTCTCTTTAAGTAGAGTTTCTGTTCTGTAAGGGGGTTCTTAGAAGGGTATCTAGGGGCTATATTAAGGTAGAAGGGTAACAGCTAAAGAGGCCACCGGCCTTTATAACCTATACCCCAAACCCTAAACTTCTCTATTTTATGGTCTCTTTAAGCTGCGATCGCCTTGGAACAGGAGGCGGGCGCCCATCGTGGCTGCGGTGAGTACATGAGTTCCCCGCACTTTGTCCATAGCAGTTCAGGGCGAAGCGGACGGGAAAGCTTTGCCTAGTCCTCACGCAGGGGCAGGCGATGAGCAAGGGTGTAGCACTTAATCCAACACATGATCTACAGCCCATCCTGAGAGAGGACTGGTGCTTTTTGGTCCGCATTTTCGTTCTGGGCAGTTTCCGGTAATTCGAAGGCAATTGGCAAGTCCTTCAGTTCTTCATGCCACTTGCTTGGCTAACAAGGTCCCTGCCGACCCGAGCGAAGTGCTCAGCATTGTCGAAACATCGCATCGGCCAGATGCAGACTTTTCGAGGCCTTCGAGGCCTCTGACACAACGTGCCGCGGAGGAAAACGCCCACCTTATATTCATGTCTTCAGGAGCTGCACATTTATACTTTGGGGGTGGGGGGGGTGGGGGCGGGGGCGGGCTTGTGTGACTCGGCAAGGTGGGCTTGAAGATGATATTCATTGAAAAACTGAGGGGCACTCTAGCAGCTGCGAGGCAGTTGATCTCTACTACCTATACGTGCGTCGTGCTGGTCTGCTGTTCATACCTTGAGGAGTAGACACCTACTGACTTGTCCATCGACGAGGTTTTCAGGTCTCACAAGGATACCCTCGAGAGCCGTCTGCATGCCTTGCCAACTTGCCTCAACCCCTGCATCCCTCAACCCTCAAGCCCCTGTAGTCCCTTAACCCCAGCGCCTAAACCCTCAACCCTACCCCTTCAACCTCGCGCCCACCCCCCTAAGCCCTAAACCCTAAACCCTAAACCCTACACCCTAAACCCTCAACCACGCCCCCCCCCCCCCCCCCCCGCCCCCCTGGGCCCCTGCGCCCCCACGAAAAGCGAAACTGCCACTTCCGCTGCGTCTTCTTCCGGCCCACAGTTGCGGTCTGTGCAAATTGTTCACCATTCTACAAGCGCTGCGCCTAACTCCCGCCATGGCATCCGACAAGGCATGTAGGGCACAAGCGATGGGAGGGTTCACTAAGGTACGCTTGCTTAGGGCCTTCGGGGTTGAGGGTTTAGGCTTTAGGCTTTAGGCTTTAGGCTTTAGGCTTTAGGCTTTAGGCTTTAGGCTTTAGGCTTTAGGCTTTAGGCTTTAGGCTTTAGGGCCCTTGGGGACATGTCATGTTGTCCATTATTGGGCTTAAGAGGATCTAAACCCTAAACCCTAAACCCTATATTCAAGACTATGCTTCAGAGGTTTTAAATAAGGGGGCCATCTGGGTTGGGAGTTGGGAGTTGGGAGCTATAAAAAATTCCTAAGCCCTCATGGCGCTGAGGGTTTACCTGAAGGCTCCTGTGTAGTTCCTTTTTTTTTGGTTTAGTTAGAGGGAGTTTTTGTATAAAAAAGGTACTACATAATTAGGAGCCTGTGGGGAGGGATCAGAGTTTATGAGCCCTAAGCCCCACAGATGCTACGGAGGAAACCGGAACGTTGCGGCTGTTAGGGTTCCTTTCGAGTGCCCTGTGTAGGACGTTCCGTGTCTTAGCCCCAAAACGACCTCCTGTTCTGGAGCCCTTTTTTGTCGGGTTGAGGCTTTGGGTTTAGGGTTGAGGGTTTAGAGTTTAGGGTTTAGAGTCTAGAGTCCCTATGCCAGTGAGTCCGAAGGCATTTGGGCAGCTAGGTGAGGTTTGGTTGGAGTTTTGGGTTTTTGGTTTTGGGCTTTGGGCTTTGGGTTTTGGGTTTTGGGTTTTGGGTTTTGGGTTTTGGGTTTTGGGTTTTGGGTTTTGGGGGGTTGAGCGTTTAGGGTTGAAGGGGGTTGAAGGGTTTTGGTAGGGTCTTGGCAGTCTTCGGCTATGGTTCAGGGAGATGCCTGGCTCTAGCGGAAGGCTGAATGACCCTAGATCACACCCTAAATCCCGAGTCACAGACGCGCCCTCCAGCAGAGGCTATTGAGCCTTATCATCCCTGAATCAGCCCTATACAGGGCCTTTTTCGGGGATTCTCGGACAAGGAAACCTTAGACTCTCAAGCTACAAGGCTTGGCCAGAGTCCGGCTTCAGATCCCAGCATTTCCGGAGCCACGCTTTATGCAAATTCCTTAACAGGAATTGCTTACCTTCCAAGCCCCCCAGGGATTGGCCCAGAGGCTGATGCACGTTAGTATGGTGTTTCGGTTGCCTGGATAAGTCCGGAGCCCCCCCAGCCAGGGACTCAAAAAAGGAAAAGAAGCAGAGGGGCCGGGGGGGCCTAGATGCTACTGTAAAGCGAGCACAACATAACATGCAATCAACCTGATAGAGCTGGATTGCCTGCCCTGAATGATGTTCGAGGTTTTCGGGGTTTGGGGCTCAGGGTGCTTTCGTTCCAGAGACATCCTCGCCATAGGTTCTGACGATGGACGAGATTGCCAAGCACAACACCAAGGCTTGGACATACCAACTGGACTCTAGGACGTGTTAGGACACAAGAGTCTTGATGCACATGGTCACATGGTGCCGGCCTTATCCCAAACCTTATATACTCTAATCCCTAACCCCTAAACCGCATGTCTGTTTCCAGATTTCGTTTCGCTTGTTTCAAGGGGGACCTCGAAAATGTTGAGCAGAGGGGCCCCTGGGGTTGAGATAGCCGTGCAGGGGTTCCTTTTTTAGTAGCCTTAGGGCCCAAGTCTACTATACAAGTACGTGGACCCTTTGGGTTCAATGTAGCCTCCGTACTTGACCAAGCTCACCCACATTCGTTGTGCGTTCTTCCCAAGGTCCTTGGGTTTCTGAGGGAGCCCGGTATCCCTGAACCTTAAACCCTAAACCCTATAAACCCTAAACCCTGAACCCTAAACCCTTATGGGTGTTGTGGGGCTTCCAGAGACATGGCCGCGCAGGAGGATTGCTGGGTCGTCCTCTATGGCAAGGCCGGTGGTTTTGGTGAGCCTGAACCCTAAACCCTAAACCCTAAACCCTAAACCCTAAACCCTAAACCCTGTACGGTTTAGGGCTATGATAGAAAGGCGACTGAAAGCACCTTGTCATCTCAGGCTGCCGAAGTAGGCATGTCATCTGAAAAAGAATGTTTGGGGTTTAGGGTCTCAGGTTTCGGAGGCTTTAGGGTTTAGGGTTTAGGGTTTAGGGTTGAAGATGAAGTTATGAGCCTCAGCTGCAGCATCGTAGTTCGTTGCTGTAGGACCCCCACGACCGAAGCCCAGGGAGCGGAAACAGCTACAGCTTGCAGAGACGGCGAAAACCCTAAACCCTAAACCCTAAACCCTAAACCCTAAACCCTAAACCCTAAACCCTAAACCCTAAACCCTAGGCTTTACGGTGTGGAGGGGACTTAGATGTCAAAACCTGTGGGGAACTGAGCTTTAGCCTTCGAAGTCCTAAGCCTTGCGTGCTTCCAAACCTCCCACCCTGTCTTCTGGAGTGCAGTCACCTGACGTGCTTTAAAGCCTAGAGCTTGAATGTTGGGATGTTCGCCCTTCTACTAACCATGCAGATTATCGTGGGGGGCACTATATTCCCTATAAAGGACTCTTCGCATGAGGGGAAACATCCCATAAACCCTAAACTAAACCCTAAACCCTAAACCCTAAACCCTAAACCCTAAACCCTAAACCCTAAACCCTAAACCCTAAACCCTAAACCCTAAACCCTTGGCTCGGCGGAGGCCTACGACCTCACGAAGTTCGCCAAGGCCTGAAACCCCAATACACCTTGCTAGCCCAGCGGTACCCTAAACCCTAAACCCTAAACCCTAAACCCTAAACCCTAAACCCTAAACCCTAAACGGGCAGGTGCACCCAGGTGGCGCCAAGCTCATCACGGACGCAGCGGGCATGGAAGCTTGCCCAAACTTGTCGCGGTACGGGGTTGCCCCCCCCCCCCCCCCACCCAAACTATATAGCCTTTCAACCCTCAACCCCTAAACCCCAAA